CTGGCTTCATCTCTGAGCCTCTGATGTCCAGCCACATTGGAGGGGTGGAGAAGTGGCCCGAAGCAGGGGTGGTGGGGGTGACGGCGGAGGCTGGGGCTCGGGGCCCGGGGCAGCGGTACCTTCGCAGCGCTTGCCGTCGGCAGCCAGCCGGAAGCCAGAGGCGCAGGAGCAGCGGTAGGACCCGGGCGTGTTCTCGCAGGTGTGCTGGCACAGGCGGCTCGGCGAGGCCCAGCACTCATTCACGTCTGTGGCAGGGGCGGGGCTGGCCTCAGTCGGGGGCAGAGGTGGCCCGGAAGCCTCCACCCCGGGTAGAAGGGCAGCTGCGTGGGGAGAGGGACCCCAGAATCCAGGAGGAAAGACAGGGAGGGACTAGGAGAGGAAGCGGTGAGGACGCTGGAGGGAGACGGACGGAACAGAGACACAACAGGGCCAGAAAAGAAGGTGACAGGGACCAAGAGCAAAGCCTCAACAGGACGGTAGGAAGGCGGTCAAGCCCAGAGGCCAGGGCAGAGCAAGAGGGTGGGGGGAGGGGCAGGAAGGAGGCCGCCAGCGGGCTGGCCCGGGAGGCCCTGCGGCAGGTGGGCGTCTCTCAGGGTAGGCAGAGGGGGTCCCAGCCACCAGTCCCCACCTACCGACGCAGGCCCGGCCAAAAGCGTCCCACTGGAACCCGGCCTTGCAGTCACAGCGGTAGGAGCCGGGGAGGTTGCGGCACACCTGGCCCTCGCCGCACTGGTGCGTGCCTGCCTCACACTCATTCACGTCTGCGGGGAGAGGCACACAGGGCACCCTGAGGCCCGGGCTCTCCCCCGGCTCGGGCCTCCCACCGCCCAGGGGACCAGGAGGCCAGGCTGGTGGGAGGCGGGCCTTACCCACGCACTTGGTCCCGTCCTGGCTAGCGTGGTAGCCGCGCCCACAGATGATAGGGTTCCTCTGACACGTGTAGGAGCCCACCGTGTTGATGCAGCTGAAGCCGGGCCGACAGGGCTCAGAGAGGGACGTGCACTCATTGATGTCTGTGGGGGTGGGTGGCAGGTGATGGGGAGCCCGGTGCAGCCCCTCCCCGGGCCCCAGCATCTGACTCTAGGGCTGCCCTAGGCCCCAGACCAGCCAGGTCAGGGCTGTGAGCTCAGACTGTCCCAGGACCCAGAGGGCACCCCCTCCCAGAACCCGAGCACTGTTGGCTAGGTTAAAAAAATTGAGATACACCAGTCCTATCCCACATGTGGGTAAACTGAGGCCACGAGAGATGCAGCTCAGCCCAGATGAGATCATCATCAGCTCAGGATAACAAGAGCTTCCATCCTGCACCTGCCTCCTAGGGCCCAGGCACTGACATGTCATTCCCGGGTGGGGACCCTGAAGCTGGGGGAGGAGAGGCCAGCAGGCCGGGCCCCCCCATCCTAAAGCCCTCAGAGCCCCGCGCCCACGATGACCCCCGCCGGGACGCCAGGGGTGGGCAGCACCCCTCCCAGGCCCCTCTCACCCACGCAGTTGCTCTCGGGGTCCTGCAGGAAGCCCTCCATGCAGCGCTGCCGGGCCTGGCAGCGGAAGGAGCCCTCGGTGTTCTGGCACACGGAGCCCGCCTGGCAGCCGTGCGTGCCCAGCTCACACTCGTCCACATCTGCCATACAGACCAGGGCTGGCGTCAGGGGCCCCGGCCACACCTCCCCACTGTGACCCTGATCGCTGCAACAGTCTCCTGCGTCGCGGGAGCGGCATGGCGCGTGCCGGCGTAACCACAACATCACCCTTCCACCGTGGCCCCCAGCGCTGTCCCAGCCCCCCGAGGTGTGCTATTTAGTGCTCAGGTTAACCCAGAATCAGGGGCTGTGACAAGCCCCTCCTTACACAGGGGAAGCTGAGGCACAGACACGGTTCCACAGCTGGGGCGCTGCTCCCAGGCCTGCGAGCCTAACCTCTGCCCCGCCCCCTGGGACGGAAACGGGGGCGTGTGCTCAGATCCCTAAAGTCGCTCCTCCAGGCTTCTCGGGAGGTGGCACTGGCAGCAGCCAGTCTTGGAGCTCCTGAGGACGGATGGATGGTACCCTGTCCCCACCGGCAGTGTGGCCGCAGCAGGGCACAGGGGCCCTAACTGCTGGGCAGAGCCCACGGCTTACAAAGTGCCAGCCCTGTGCTCAGAGGTACATCAGGCTGTTTTTATAGACGAGGAAACTGAGGCACGGAGCAGAAAGGCAACACAGAGGGCGAGTGGCATGGTGCCAACCCCCGCCACAAGGTGTCAGGGTCTCTGAAGAGGGCTTGCCCGGGGTCTGCGTGTGCCCTCGTGCATGTGCACGCAGGTTTGCGCACAGGTGTGCCAAGGGGGCTGGGCTCATCTCCCAGCTCACCCCACCCCGGCTCCGCGCCCAGCTTAGGGCGGACCTGGAGCGTGTTCATCCGCCCCCCTGAGCTCTCGCCCAGCCTCAGGGCCTCTTCTCACAGGCAGCCCCCAGGCTTGCAATAATGAGGCACTTCTGTGGGTCTCACCCTCCTGGGTCTCATCTCATTCTTCTGGACATTTTCAGTTAGAAATAAAATGCCTTCCGTCATGTGTGAAAGACTTCCAACTTCTTGCCTAACCAGGGCTGCCGACACTGCACCCCCTCCCGCTGGCACAGGCTCCCACCTGAGACTTCCTTTCTGTTCCTTGTGCCAAGACCCCTCTCTCCTCAGAAATGCCTCTCACTTGCTGCTCCCTCTGCCTGGAACACCTTCCCCGGGGGCATCTCATCCTGCAGGTCTCCACCTGGACATCACCTCCACAGGGGGCTAGCCTCTCTGAAGGAACCCCCAGCCAGTGGCCACCCGCCATCCTGGTCTGCCTGTGTGCCCCTGCCTCCATCAGGAGGTCAGAAGCAAGAGCAGGTGCCCGCCAGGAGCCCTGACACCGAGAACCCCGGCACACAGACCAAGCTGGGGAAGCATCTGCTGAAACGGTTCAGTGGAAATTCTCTCTCTTCTTAGGAGCCTAGAATTTTCTGTTAGAAGTGATCCCTCTGTGCCATTCCACCTCAGCACACCCACAGAGGAGCGAGGCGTGGGGAGGGGAATAACTGACACCCAGACACGTCTACCTTGACCCTCCCACCAGTCTCAGACGCCTGCCCCACCCAAACACCATCCATCATCTGTGGGGTCTTCCCACTGGCAAGAAGCCCAAGTGCTGGGAGCTTGCGGGAAGGGAGAAGGCTTTGGGCAGGAGATGGGGCGGGGCAGGCTGGGAAGGTCAGGGGCGGGGTGGGAGGCGGATGGGGCGGGGCTTGAGCAGGTCAGGAGGCGGGAGGTGGGCGGGGCCTCCAGCAGGCACGCCTCACCTGTGCACTCTCCGTTCTGGAGCGCGTAGCCGGGCTCGCAGGTGAGAGACTTGTAGCAGCGGAAGGAGCCCACCGTGTTCACGCAGTGCTCGTCCCGGCTGCACGTGTGAAGGTCCGTCACACACTCGTTGATGTCTGCGGGGAGGGCGAGTGTCAGAGGCTGCAGGCTGCTTCCCGGAAGGCGCAGAGCCAGCTGGCCCCGCCCTCAAGGTGCTCACCTCCCAGCCTGCAGCACAGTCGCTGAGCCCTGCCTATGCAACCACTCACTCAACAAAGCTTCATGGAGCACCTTGCATGTGCCGACAGCACTGTGCCAGGCCCGAGGAGCACATGGTGAACAAGACAGACAGAAACCCTGTGATGGTGCGGAGGGACACCAGACCAGCAAACGTGAGAAGGAGGTGGTCGCGAGTCTTGTGGAAGAGAGTGGGTGATGGAGACCAGGGTGCTGAGGTGCAGCGGGGGTGGGCGCCACCTTAAGTAGGAAGTCGAGGAAGGATCCTCAGAGCAGAGGGCACTTGAGCAAACATCTGACGAGGTGACAGTGAGACGAGCACATGTCCAGGCAGAAGGGACAGCCTGCCAGGCAGGTGGGGGCTGGCCAGGAGGGGCGTGGCTGCCGGGGAGAGAGGAGTGTTAGGAGATGCGGGGGAGGTGGGAGCCATCGAGGGCTCTGGTCGAGGAGGGAAGAGGGCTGAGTAACGGGCTCAGTGGAATACTCAGGGGCGAGGGGCTGTTAGATTAGGTCATGGGGGGCTCAGGCTGCCATCCACGGAGGCAACCAGCAGTCGGGTCTGGAAATACTGCAGAGGTCAACCTGACAGGATCTGTGATGGGTGAGGTGAAGGAGACAAGAGGCTGCACAGCTTTTTGGCCAAGCAGCTGGACGGGTAAGAGCACCTGGGATGGGGCCAGCTGGGAGGCACAGGCTCGCAGGGGAAGGCCAGGAGCCCTTGTGGTCACACCAAGTTTGAGGGTCAAGAGGCAAGCAGAGGAAGGGGTCTGCATGGAGACGCTGCCTTGGAGTGGTCACTGCCGAGGTCACCTGGGAGGCAGGACACAGAAAAGAGGCTGAGGACTGCCTCCTGGCATGAGCAGGTGGGGAGAAGCCAGCAAGGCAGAGAGAGAAGAAACACCAGGGAGGGTGGGGGAGAACCAGAGAGACGGCCACCTCACATGTCCCCGCAGGCCAGCCACCATGGGTGCCCGACGACACCCCCGTGCCTGTGAGCCCTGGCGGGGACGTGCTGCAGTCATTGCCAATCCATTCATTCCCTGGACACACCTGAACTATTCTGTGCCAAGCCCCAGTGGCCACGCCATGTGTCGGCCTCAGCCTCTGCCCCCATGGAACTGCCAGATGGCAGGGGAGAGAGGACAGGAGGGACGGAGATGCTGTATAGAGAAGCTGGCCCGGCCTGGCCCCGGCCAGAGCGCCACCTGCTCTGGGTCCCAGGCTGTCAGAGTCGCTCTCACGGGGCAGTGATGTCTGAGCTGAGCCTACCAGGGTGGCAGGGACCAGGTGGACAGGAGACAGGGCCACGGGGCAGGAGACCCTCCCAAATTCACAGGTGACCAACTGGGGTACAGACCCGGCCAACCCTGGTTTGGGTGGGGATGAGGGGGAGCAAAAGGGAGAGTTCTGGGCCCGCAGGTCTCCAAAAATGCTTGGCTGGGCAAGATAAAGATTTCTGAGGTTCAGGCCGGGTTGACAGCAGGAGACACGGTCCCAGGACCCCAGAAACATCATAGGCCAGTGCCCCCACAGCCTGAGAGAATTGTGCTGACAAACAGCAGCAGACACCACTCACTGAGGCTCACAAGGGATCGGGCGGCTTACAGGAACTGCACTTCCATCGCCCTAAGATGCTGTTTCACAGACAAGGAAGTAAGTCTCAGGGGGGATGTGACTGGACTGAAGTCCCCCAGCCTGCACGTGGCAACAGCAGGAACAGAACCCACAGTGCCCAGCTCTCGCCCCATGGCTGCAGACTGGGCCCCAGATTCCAGGGCTCCCATCTTCTCAGAGCCCACCTGGAACACTCTGCCCAGGGCCCAAGACGGTCCTCAAAGGACAGGGCATAAAAAGCGAACAGCAAAGCACAGGGGATTCCCGCATGTCTGCTACACGACTCCTGGACTTGGCACCGCCCAATACTGTCCCACTTCAGCTTACACGCCTCCAATGATGGGGAGCTCACTACCTCTGCATAACACATTGGCCGGCTCATAATCACGACGTCAAACACTGGCAAGCTCTTTACACAGACTCACCACAGTGACCCTTGGAGGTGGGTGCCATTACTGTGTCATCTCGCAGGTAAGGAAACTGAGGCTCAGAGGGGGTAAATGACTCATCTCAGGTTTTACAAAAGCAAGCGGCAGAGTGGGTTTGCACCCAGGCATTCTGGCTGCAGAGGCCACAGCCTTCATCCAGGCACCTGTCTCCCACCTCACCAGCCAGGGATAACGAATCGTGCCTACAGCTCACAAACGCACTGCAGGAGACACGTCTGTGGATGAGGAAGGGATGGACAGTGAGTGCTCACGTGATGAAATGAACACACAGGTGGAACAGAAGGGCTAAGAGGAGAGACTCGAGGTCTGTGCAGGATGAATAAGGACAGAAAGACTGAAAGAAAGACCATAAACTTTGCTGAGTGGAATGTACCTTTGCTCTGTAATCCCAGAGCCTGTTTCCCAGCTG